TTAGAAACTCAAAAATAATTAACTTAATACAAAAAAGTTTAAAACTCTAATATATTTAAATAAGTTCTAGACAAACAATGCCTTGTATTTACCTAGTAATATTTTATATAATAAGCTTAATTATTTTTCAAAAAATACTAAAATTATATTAGTTTTAAAACAAAAATTATAATGAAGATTTATATTAAGAATAATTTTATTATATATACAGTTAGACCTCATTATAGTCACTTTTGTTATAATTATAACCTTGTTATAGTTACACTATTTTTTAATTTTAAATATTATAAAACATATAAAATTTAATCTTTATATAGTTACATTTTTTTATAATTACCAAATATTTGTTTTCAAACTTGGTGATTATATCAAAGTCTAACTGTAGTATTTTTTTTACAATAAATAACTACTTATAGTACTAATTTTTAAAATATAAATTGTCAGAATCTTTTTAAAAACTATTATTAAAGCTATTTAAAGATTTTTATTAAAACTATTTTATTATAACTATTTTTATTAGAACAATTTTATTAAAACTATTTTTATTGGAACTATTTGAAAAAACTTTGTTAGAACTATTTGAAGAATTATCCAAAGAATATATAAAAACTATCTTAAAAATTAGTTAAAAACTATTTAAATAACAATCATATAGATTAAAATCTATACTATATATACAATTTAAATTATCTTACATAATTTTGAATAATTAATTTACTTATTTTTTTAATATTAGAAACTTATTATTGGCCTAAGCAATACTATTAGTTTAAGCAAGATTATTAACTTAAGTATAGATATTGCTAAAAAAATTTTTAATTTGTTTTTTATTTTTAACTTATCAAGATATTAAAAATAATAATAAAGAAATTAAAAAAATTTATTTTTATTTTTATTATTATTTTTAACTAAATATTTGAATAATTAATTAATATATTTTTTATTTAAAATAATTGCAAAAAATATTTTTATTAATAAAAATAAATGTTTTTATATTTATTTAATAAAGTATTTTTGACAATAAGATAATTTAATAATTTTAATAATAGGTAGTTAGCAATTTTAATAATAAATAAGTTCATAATTTTAATAGTGAATAATTTATTATTTTAATAGTAAATATGTTTATAATTTACTAATGAATAAGTTAACAATTTAATAGTATTTAATAGTAAGTAATTTGTTATCAAAGAATATTTATCTGATTGGTTAATACAGATCAATTATTTGGACAACTTATTTATATACTTTAAAGTATTTTTTAAAAATATTTTTTCATTAATAAAAACTTACTATAAAACTATTTTAGTTAGTAAAAATTTTTTAATTTTAAAAAATTAAAGATTAAATTTAAATAGCAATTAAAAATAAAATTTTTTATATCATTTTGTATAATTTATAGTAAAAATAACAAAAACTATAGAAAAATAATAATTTCTATTTTATAATTTAATTAATAAAATTATAAAAAATATTATTATTTTCAAAATTTACTAATTAATTCTATCTTTATATACTAAATAATTTTGTTCTATATATAAAAATATATAGATATCCTTCTCTATAATTATTATTATTTTTTTTTGGTATTAAGGTAAGGTCTTGCTCGTATCTTTATTAATAGTTTTTAACATAGTAACTACAATGAGTTGCTAATCTTTAAATATACAAACTATAAAAAGTAAAAACTATATACAAGAATAAAAGCTCAGACTACTTTATTTGTGACCTAAACCTACTAGAGTGGTCAAAGACTCATTTAGATTGTGATAGATAAAATATAATTAGAAGATATACTTAGTTGATCTATAGTGTATTAAAAATTTTGAGTTTGTATAGCCTGTTCTAGTAGTGGGCAGGAATTGTTGGTATGTAATTAGTCTGGTTTACAATACTAATATGAGCAAATATAAGCTTTGTAAGTTCATTTTGGAATTCTGTTACCAGGTTGTTATGGTTGAGATTACTTATAAGGCAAGGTGATTTCATTTTGTTTCTTCCAATTTGAGAAGTTACAACAGTATAGTTTCTATATTTATTTATAAGTAAGCTTGTTAATTAGAAGTAAAATTTTGATAATAGTTTGAGATGCTAGTTTATATGGAATATTAACTTTTGGATAGTTTGGACTAAAATATAGAAATAAAGCCTTTGAGTGTAATATCTAAGAAGAGTTCATGAGGTCTAAGTTGAATGTTATTGAAAGCTATATAATTTTAAATTATATCAATAAATTTACAAGTTTGGTTACTAGATAAGTCTAGTGCTGAGTTAGAAATAATTTCAGAAATAGAATTAGTAATAATGTTGATAAGGGTGGTAGAGTTAGAACAGACTCTCCAGTTTGAAGTAGAATTTAAACTATTGCAAGAAAAGCAGTTAGAATTATTAAAAGTATAGAAATATCTAGTATAATAAAAGTATGAAGTAGGTAATTTATTAAGTAAGATTTTAATTTTAAAAGATTTGAGTTGATTAAGTTTAAAGATGGTATAATTATAGGTGGGCTTTTGGTTATGATTAAAATATAACCAGGTAGAATTCCAGTCAATTTTTGAATAAAGGGTGACTATTCGGTATTGTAGTTTTGTAATGCTATAGTGCAAGAATGTGTAATTTGCAAATGTTTTTGTTAAAATGTCTTGTAGGTGATTCAACTAGATGTTGCTCCCACTATATAATATAATAAGCATTATGAATATTGGTATATATGAAATCTAATAGAGGTGACAATATATGTTGTTTTGCAAGTAAGTCAGCTAAATTATTATACTAATTATCAGTATATGCTTGGACTATACATGCCACCGAAATAGGTTTTCAAAAAAACCCTATTTCGTCTCTATTAGAGTGATTTGAATTTTTTATATGCAAGAGCAAATCTAATTTAGGTAGTTATATTCCTTATAATTTCATCTCTTCAAAAAAAAGTATCAAAAAATTTTATCTTTTAAGTAAAATAGGTCAAAAACAATTTCGTTTTCAAATTTTAATTTTGTACCCTGAAACCCAAAATAATTTTGTTAGCATGTATAGCTTGGACTTTGTGGAAGTTGATTTGAAGATTATGTGATTTAGAAATATTAAGTAATATATATCATAAAGACTAAGAACTAAATTTAAAAGTTTGTTGAGGTTGTAGAAGTTAATATATTTAGAGATAACAGATTGTGAAACAGTAAAAATATTGATGGTTGAGTTGTGTGAGGTAGTACAAATTGCAGATAAGATAAAAAAAAGTTTTGCTTTGTAGGAGGATGACCACAGGTAGATTATTGCTAAGAATATGTATATGATCTTATTATTAGAATTTAGCTAGACCTAATCTATATCTATTATATATTGGTTGGTACCAATATTAATTACAGATCTATCTGTATAAAAGTTAAATTAAAATTGCGTAAAATTAGTAACTAAAAATTGTTTAAGCTTCTCTAGACTTGAAAATTTGTGATGTGATAGAGTAGTTAATAGGAATTGAGAGTAGTATTAGAATTTGAATAGGTGTTTAACTTTTGTAGAGTAGATGAGATCTATGTAGTTAGCATAGAAGTTAAAATTATTGGAAGAGATCCTTTCAAAAAATTGTATAGAAAAAATAGATAAGAATTGATAGTATAGTGATTGCTAATTCTATTAGAATTTAAGTTGCATTCTATACATGGTTAGCTTTGAACAGATTGAAGAGGGTAAAGTCAATAATGGCTAGTATCAATATCAGTTTTCTAGTGAGTAATAGAGATTAGATTATTAGAGAGATATTTTCGAATTTTACTAATAATGATATTATTGTTTTTATAGCTAAGTAGCCAGAGTTGTGATTTTTTAGAAATATGTGTATTGTATACAAAGGTATTAATATCTGATTGTTGGTATTGAGGTAGCAAGATACAGTAATAGTTATGAGATATTACTTTGTCTTCTAGATATGTATATCAACTTGGTTGCTTGCCTTTAGATAGATAAAGCAATCTAAGTAAAAGATGTTTCTATTTTAAAAGAACAGAATTAATAGCTAAGCATAGTTGTTCTAGATAAAGTAAGTTTAGACATCTGAGTTGTTTTTTAATAAGATTGTATTTAGGGTGTTGTTGTAAGGTTCTTTCTAGAAATTATAAGTTGTATTGAATAGTATGAAACTATTAAAAATTGGAGTTAGCTATAATTGATATACCTAAGTGAGTAAGAAGTTGAATAATATAAAAGTTGAGAGTGTATTTGTTTGGCCCATCTATAATGGTTGTGGGTATTGGAGTATATTGATAGTTGACTACAGGTTATTCTGCAGTTGCTATACTTAGATGCGAGTATATATATCTAGTAAATATAAGTTATTAATTTATTGTAAAAAGTTAGTAACATAAAGTTGAAGCTGAATATTCCAGATATTTTTAATGTTATATAGGTAGGGGTTAAGCATAGTACTATTCAGGATATATTAAGCAAGATATAATTTATGTTTAGCTATAAAGTATTTGGAGAAGATTTGATTATATATGAACTATAAAAATACGATATTATGTAATCTATACTCTAAGGTAAGATAATAACAGTGTTGATGATATAGACTATTTGCTTATTAGTGATCTTTTTGGAACTAGTGATATTGATAAATTGAAATGCTTATCTTTTATAAGTTAGGTTTGTTGAGATTGTTTATTGTTGAGAATATACCAGCAATCTAGGAACTTGAATATTTGATTATGATATAGATTTAGTAGGGAGTTGCAAAATAAGATGGAGTTTGTAGATTTACTACTAAACTTTCTATAGTTATTTTATCCGATAATGATTTAAATCAAAGGTGTAGTTCTCAATCAGCAATGATAGAAGGCATTGAAAGTAATTTAACTTATTAAATCTATTTTTATTTTGAAAATTATATTCGATTTTACTAATATTAAATAAATTTAATAAATACCAGCACAAACTGTCAAACTGTTATTAATAATAAACCAGAGACCTCAATTGCGTTATGACCTAGAGAAGTCATGGTTAATATGTCAAAGCCAAAAACAAAGCTCACCAAAAAATCTCCAATTACCAACGCAGCTCCTAAAAATTTAACTCCTGAAAATGTAACTCCTGAAACTTCAAACAAAATAATAGATAATCAGCGAAAAGAGACCTCAAAGAATAGATGTAATGATTCACCAAAAAGTACATATAAATAAGAACATTGGATAACCCTGGCTAATTTCAGCTTCATGTTAAATCTTTGTAATACATATATAACAAATCTATTATATAGATAATCCCGTACCTCCTAGAGTTCTGAGATCTAGGAACCGCTTGTAAAATTATTAAATAAAAGAATGCGATTAGTTTTGCTTACTCCTTTCTAGCAGTAATTACAAATATTATATAACATTTATATGATTTATAAATAAAAATTAAATAAAAGAAGTATATTAAATAAACATTAAATAGAAATGTCGTATTGTATAAAGGAAATTTAAATAAATAAAAGCCGTATTTTAAACAATAATTACATATTTTGTAAATATTTTAATGATAGTATTTAAATAAAAATGATACATTTATTAATAAAAAGTATAAGACAAATATTAAACAAAATGACACTTTTTTAGATATTTATTACATGTTAATTTGCACAAATAGCATATATTTTTGCAC